CGAGGTTCAGCTTTTGCTCGGGTTCAGCTTCATCCCATATGCCCTTAGTGTTTTGAAAGCTTCTCTCAAATCTTCTACATGTGAAGTCGAGGACCTACTTTTCACCAGGATATCGTCCACATATACCTCCATATTACGTCCAATCTACGACTTGAACATTCGATCCATCAATCTCTGGTACGTTGCCCCTGCATTTTTAAGCCCGAAGGGCATGACGACATAAAAATACGTCCCTTTACTTGTGACAAAGCTAACTTTGCTCTGATCTTCGGGGGCTAATGGGATTTGGTGATACCCCTGGGAGGCATCCATCATGCTTAGCAATTCGTAACCAGCCGTGGAATCGACTAGTTGATCAATCCTCGGCAGAGGGTAATGGTCTTTGGGACATGCTAAGTTCAAGTCGCGGAAGTCGATACACATACGCCATTTGTTCAATGCTTTCCTCACCATCACAGTGTTGGATATCCATTCGGGGAATTGGATCTCTTTGATGTGCTTGGCTTTTAGCAACTTATCCACCTCGACCTCGATTGCTTTGTCTATCTCAGCCCCATGATGTCTGAGTCGTTGCTTGACGGGCTTTTTGAGGGGATCGACATTGAGCTTATGTTCCATGACCTCCGGATTGATTCCTGTTAATTCCTCTGGAGAGAAAGCAAAGATGTCTCTAAATTCCCTCAGCAATTCCACCAACTGCCTCCTTAACTCGTCTTCCAACTCTTTCCCGACTTTGGTGGTTTGGTCCTCTCTTTCTCCGATCTGAATTTCCATCAGCTCTCCGTGTGGTTCGAGATCACTTCCCCTCGGCCTTTTTTCATTCGATCCCAACTTCTTCCCTTCTTTTACCTCCGTTCGTTGGTTCTTCCTTACCGCTATCTGGTAACATGCTCTGGATAGTTTTTGATCTCCTCGAGCTTCTCCCACCCGATCTCCGACTGGAAATTTCAACTTCATATGGTAAGTTGACACCACAACTTGGAAAGTGTTCAGTGCTGGTCTCCCGAGGATCACGTTATAAGCCGATTCGACATCGACCACCACGAATCTTATCATCTTCACATTTCTCAAGTCTCATTCTCCTAAGACGACGGCAAGCGTGGTTTCTCCCAAAGGTGCGACCTCCGATCCATTGAACCCAAAAAGAGACGTGTGCAAGGGTGCCAGTTCAATGTCAAGGTCCATCCTTTTGAGACAATCATAAAAGATCACATTTACTGAGCTTCCAGTATCGACGAAAACCCTTTGCACCTCGTAGCCCGACACCTGGGCGGTTATCATTAGAGCATCATTGTGAGGCCTCTCGACCTCTCCTACATCCGCTGGTCCAAAATTCATCACCGGACCCCCCTCATCGACTTGGTGTACTTCGACTTTGGCATGCTTCCCTCGGGAGTACGCTTTTCTTGCACGGTTTGAATCTCCGTCAGTCGGTCCACCAAAGATCATGTGATTTATTCCTTTTTTCAAGAGGAGCTCGTCCTTTTCTGGTGACCTTGTCCTCTTGCGAGGACTCTTACTCCTTTCTTTTCTTCGAATTGTCCTTTCTCGATCTTTGTATATGAATTCTTTCAAATGGCCGGCCTTTATCAACCTCTCTATCTCGTCTTTAAGATGCCTGCAATCGTCGGTGTTATGTCCGTAATCCTTGTGGAATCGACAGTATAGGTTGCTCTTAGGCCTCGTTGGCCCGTCATTCCTTGTCTTGGGCCATCTTACCACATTGTCACGAATCTCCCTCTCCATAACTTCCAAGATCCTAGCTTGTGGAGCCGCCAGAGGGGTGTAATGAGTCGGCCTCCCACTTCTAGGCCGTCCTTCCCTTTCTGCTCGCGGGGACCCCTTTCTCTCTCCAGTCGAGGAAACTCTCTTTTCTTTTCTCTCGTCTCGAGGGTCTATTTTAATCGTTTTAGACGCATGCGAGAAGTCAGCCTCTACTTCCTCGACGTTCATGTATTTCGCACACCTCCCTAGTACCTCATCAAACGTTCTGCCTGGGCGCTTAGCCAAAGAGTTTCTGCACAAGCCTGGCAGTAGCCCTCGGGTCAAGCCCCCCGCCTTTATTTCCTCTGACGCTCTGGGCACCTCGACGCAGGCCCGTGTATATCTCGCCACATAATCTCGTAACGACTCGCCTTCTTTCTGTTGTATGCCCATCAGTGTTAAATACGACTTCTCTTGTGGCCTGA